TATTGTTCCTTAATCTTTGCTCTGTCCAAATGCAGTGCCTGCCATAAAACGTTCCACACTGTGATTCTCCTACTGCGTGCAGAAGAAAAAGCTGCAGTCTTTGGGTGTTTTAACCCAAGTTGTATCCACTCTGAGCTCCTCGCTTTCTTCTGAAAGATCTTTGTTGTAAACTCTCCAACTGTGATTTGAACTGCTGCTTCTTTCAGCAAGCAATAATTGAATATTCAATATACGTTGCATCACACGATCTCTGGGTGTCCATTCCAAGCCAGATGACTTTGTGATTTGCTGTAGGTTTGGCATGTGTGACTCAGGCTTTGTTCACATTTAGCTAACTGCAAGCTATCTATTTATGTCTGTTTTCAGTTAGTTGAGCTGTAGTCCTCGCTGTCCCTGGCAGCACCCACTGTTATCTGTTGTAATACAGCTCCTAGTACATGCATCCAATAAATGCTGGTATTTCAGAAGTGAAGGCAGTGTATTTCTGAATGGCGTTCTGTGCAAAGCTATAGCTTGGTGTGAAGAGCTTGATTCTGAAGGATTCTTGCAAGCTTGTAACTTACTAGCCCTGGCCATTGAGGTTTTGATAATTCCCTTCTAGTGGATTTGAGCTACGTGTTGAAGAACTCATTCATGTGTCCATTCATGTGGTCTCCCCGAGGGATCTTTTTTCTCCTTTTTCCTTTATTTATTACTGTGTCCAAAAGTGTGTGGCTTCTTGAAGGTGGAGAAGTGGTCTTGCTTTCTTTGCTAGTAGAAAATGATTGCTATTAAGATGTTGCTATTCTCAGCGGGTATTTGGTTTAGCACTAACAGCACTTTTCTTCCAAAGCACAGTTTTGTGATGATGGTAAAGGATTGGATAAGGATTGGATCTTGTATTTGTTCTTCTATCCCTTTCTCTGTAGGAGTTTTGGCTGTTGGGCTTATCAGCGAGGCGCTGGATGAAGGAGACACCAGAAAAGCTCTGCAAGCCTTATACAGATTCCTGCAGCAAAACTGGAGGGTGTAACCCCACAGGTAGGTCAGCATTATCAGGGCACACTGCTTCGGGCTAAGAGAGAGAAAGCACAGGTGGGTGTAGTTAAAAGTACCTCTCAAGAAGCCTTTGCATCTGTGTACTGAGGGCATTCCTGACGTTGGGAGAAAAGCTGGGAAACAGATCTGGAAATGAAAGGGTGAACGCTGCATGCTATCAGCTGATGTTACCTGGCCAGTTTGGATCTGTCTGTATGAAGGAAAGAGAGATGCAGGCATAACACGTGAATCTTGGTGAACTACAGAGATGGGCTTCAAGATATGAACTGCTGGAGATGGATTGCTCTAGCTAATTGTACGTCCAGAGTGGCAGACGTACCTTCTTTTTGGAGATATGAGGAGATGTGTTCAGTGTCATTTGTTTTTATAAGAAGGCAGTGTTTATCCTAATAGCTGTGAATTTCCAAATGCAAGTCTCGTTCAGTCTCCATTTTTTAGTGCTATTTGTTAAATGTATCCATAGGTGTAGTTACATCAAGCAAAAATGAGGTTTGAGAAATAGGAAAAAAAACTTGTTAGGTGATGAATTTGTTCAGAAGGAGGGGAAAACAGAAAACAAAATATATGCTTCTAGCAAGATGTGTATGAATGCCTATCACTCGCTAGGTGACGCTGCAGATGCTATGCATTTTGTGCATGGTGGTTGTCTGTTGTGGTAGCCCAGGACTTCTCCTGACTTAGATGGAGTTGCCTCTTTGTGTAACTGGTCTGTATGTACAGGTGAAAATGGAGAGAGGAAGAATGATCTCACCTTACTGGCTTAGGAAGGAAGATGAAACACTGTATGGGTGGTGTTTGGTTGCCCTGCCTCGGGCAGGGGGTTGGAGATTCGTGATCCTTGAGGTCCCTTCCAACCCTGTGATTCTGTGGTGTACATGCTACTGATTTTTTTTTTTTAACAGATGAGTGGGATGCTATTTTATTTCCTTATGCTTACACAGAAGTAGCAGATGTGCTTCCTTTCAGTTGCCTACGCGTGTTTAATTTCTTTTTGTACTATCTTTTCAGTTGTGGAGCTCATTGTTCTAATTCCAGCAGGGATTTTAGCATAGAGACTGAGATGATACTGTGTTCAACATGGGTGTTTTTTAGTATGTTTGTTTGCTTTGTTTTTTTTGACTAAGTGTAAACCTTCACGATGGCAGTGTCCGAAAACTGCGCTGGTGATGAAGATCACTGAGCAGCTTCCTCAGAGGCCCTGAAAGGGTTCTTGTTCCTCAGGAACCCATTTTGTGCTGAAGCATTTCCTCCTACTGAGTGAGAATGAAATAAGGAGTTGTTCTTGGTGTGCACGTAAGCTTCTGCCAGGCTGGATTGGTGACTTCAGTTGACGTGAAATTACCTCACTGAGGCATATGTTCAATGTGGGGCTCCTCCCTGCAACGTGGCAGCAATTTCAGCGATGGTGAGATCGTGGTACAGACCAGCACTGTGGGTAGAACAGTTGCTGTCCTGAGTCAACGTGCTTACTAGCTGGTGACTTGTGTAGCTTGGGACTGAGAGGGATTGCAGTTCAGCACAAGGCAGGGGATCTGGCGTATGATGCGATTTCTCACGTGATGAGCAGTGAGAGAAGTGTTAACCCTGCAGTGTGTGACAGCGCGTGTCCCTGCTGGGGGACTGTGACAGTAAATGCACGGGAAAGATCAGACGGCTTTGACAGTCCTGGGATTGATGACTGTGCTGGTAGAGATGGCAGTGCAAGAGTTTGTTCTTCTAAGTCTGCCACCCTTCCCAACAGGAATTTCTACATTGCTGAAGCAGTCATGGGACTCCTTGGACATTCCGATAAGACTTGTTAAAGGGATGTAGGTTTCAATCCAAAGCAGTGGTAATGTGGAGGGTATGTAAGGAAATGTCAATTGTCAGTCCTGCCACAGAACTCTTCATGCTGGAATATAGTGGCTCTTTGTGCAGGGGGATTATTAATCCGTGTCAGAAGTCAATGTTTCCTGTGTCCTGTTTGCACATCAGGGGTTGTTGGAGGGATGGCCATTGCTTCTTCAGATCTCCTTCCATAGTAACCCCCAGGAAGCAACAGTGGGGGTGGAGGAGCTGTGCTTGGCAGCTGCTGGACTATTGTTCATTATGTGTATTTTGGGGTTTGCTAAACACTTGTCTCTTGGACAGTTTCTGCGTGTAACATTATTTAATGAGTTTCTTCAGCCAAAACATAAGATACGGTGTGATCAGTACTCCACAGCAAATGGTCTGTTAATAGAGAGACTTGAGAGATGCTTTTACTGTTGTACATTTGTATTTACCCCCAGTACATGCAGTGCTTTTTGATTTGCTGGTACAGAAATCTGCAAAGCTTTGTGGACGGGACAAGAGCAGCCTGCTGTTGTGTTAGTTCCCCCTCAGTTTTTGGTTGCTGCTCCTGTATGTGCATTTCCACTTCATGAAGTTTCCCTGAACAACTCCTTGCAGCCTGGTACTGGGAAAGGACTCCTGTTAGTCTCTGTTTGTGTCCACCTCAGCAGAACAAAGCTTTTCAGGAAAAGTGCTAGGAGTGCTGGTAGGCAGACAGCCAGGTGGCTGTGAGTGGGCAGTGTGCTCGTGCTGCCTGGAAGGCTTCAGCAGAGAGGTGATCCTTGCACTTGGCACTGGTGAGGCTGCTCGTGTACTGTGTCCAGTTCTGCCCTGCCCCCCCAGACAGCAGACATGAGTGTACTGGAGATAGGCCAGCGTAGGGCCACTGAGGTGCCTGAGGGACTGGAACAGCTCTCCAGAGAGGAAAGCTGAGGGGGAGGAGACTCTTTAGTCTAGAGATGAGAGGGCTTGGAGGGAATCTCTTCAGTGTATGTGAAAGCTGGAAGTGAGGATGCAGTTAAGGACAAGAGGCATTGAGTACAAACTGGGGTTCGAGAGGTTCCATCTAAACGTCAGGCAGCACTTTGCAGTGGAGGTAACTGAGCAGTAGCGGAGGTCGACCAGAGAGGGACTGGAGTCTTTTCTTTGGAGTTGTTCAGAAGCCATCTGGATCTGGTCTGTCCTGGATAATGTGCTCTCGGTGTCCCTGCTGGAGCAAGGGGTTTGTACCAGCTGAGCTCAGAGGTCCCTTTCCATCTTAAATTGTTCCGTGATTTTCTTTTTTGGGCTCCTTGGAAAGGCACGTCCTATTGGCAGATACAGCTTTAGGACTGAGCAGTGCAGATTGCTTGGCGTTGGGATGCCTTGATGTTTGTTGGAGTGACACCACTGCTGGAACTCTTGGTGGGAGTTCCTTGTCCTGAGATGAGTTTTGGCCTGGTAATGCTGTAGTTGCTTCTGCTAGTAACAAATGTCCATTATGGCCTTGTGTTGAAATTGATTAGAAAGATACTGAAGTGCTTCCTGTATCCCTTGAAACTGCAATTGCTCAGAGGTGGTGGTTTTGTTTTGCACAACCAGTGACGCTCTTTTCCTCATGCTGCGAATGCTTTCCTCATCATATTCTCTTTAGGACACTCAGGATGAAACAGCTGTGCCTTGGCTCAAGCAAGAAATGTACACATGCAAAGGAAATTAAAATACAAGTGTTTGCTTCAGGTAGGTGTAGAAGTTTTTTCTTTCCACAATGAATGTCACAGCCTTTAAACTTCAATTCTTTAAATCTTTTTGGAAGGATATGTCATTTCAGTTGTGCTTGTGACTGTGTTACATCCTAGGCAGAGATACCTATTGAATCTCTGTCCAAGTGTTTGACATTAGCAAGATCACTGTGTCTGTCTGTGGTTGGGTAGTCAACCCAATAGAGGATGTTCATGTGCACAGTTGTGGTGCATCTTAGCTTTCATTTGTGTTGTACTGTTGCCTGAATTCTATGAAGTAATTCTCAAAGTACTTTCTTTTTTTTTTTTTTTTTTTTTGCACTAAGTGCAGATAACAACACAAATCAGTGCAGTTGGCAGGTGGACTGTGCCCAAGAACATTTGGTCAAAAGCAGGATTAAAGTCTGTTTCTTTGAGCCTGAATAATTGTTCAGATACCCTTCTACCTCTGTGTGTGCGAACAGACATTTGCTCAGTGCTGAAAATGACTGTATCTCGTGTTTACTGCTTCGGTGAGATACCTGTGGTTGATTTTGTACTGTGTTTGCAACAGAGTTCTGGAGTAGCCCTGGGTTAGCTCTTTCCTCATCTTGTTCTTGTTGATAACCTGTTCTGTGTTCAGGTTGCTATTCTTGCTAGGAACGGTGCAGTCACTGGAAAGGTGCTTTTTGAGTCAGTTGTCTGCTGTAGCAGGGCTCTGCAAGAAGAAGCTGCCTGGACTACAGCTGTTGTCAGAGTACAGCTGAGTGAATGGAGAAAAGGTTGTAGAGAAGTACTGTTGATAAATCAGCACCATGGTAGGACTAAGAGCACAAAAAAAAGCGCTGTCAGACACTGTGCCATACACAGATGCACACTGTACTGAAAAGATTGTTGTACACCAAGTTGTCTTTTTTTAATCAGTATTTTTATGCATAAATACAGGAAGGTATTTGTGTACACTGGCACAGTGCCTTGCTCTCTGAAGTTTGTTGTGAGCCACTGAGCTCCTGACTGCGCAGGTAACCTGCCCTCTCCTGTTGTTGAAGTTTCCTTAGGCATTCTGGCCGTGAATGAAGCAGTCGGTCACGGAGATACCAGCCCTACCCTGAGTGCCTTGTGCTCACCAGATGTGGGGCTGTACGGAGTCGCTGCAGAGTGTGCAGAGACATACCAGCGAGAGTTGGCAGAAGTCGAAAGGAGAAAAGTGGCCACAGGTGAACCCCAATAGCTACCTGCTAGTGCAGTAAATTCAAGATGATTGCCAGTAGAATGGAAAGCAGAGGGGGAGCAATGTGAGGAGCAGTCTTGCGTTCTGGGTATCTTGTTAGAATCTCATGTTATAGGAAATTGAGGCTGCCTTGTAAACTGAAGTCTTTGTTAACGGAAAGAAAAAAAAGGTAGGAAGGAAATGAAAAAGGTAGCAGTGAAATATTCCCCACTTGTAGAATATATTGTGCTTAGGTAGTTCTTGCGGTGGTTCATTGGAATCTGCGGCGTTCCTTCTATTGCTTGGAGGAAGGGCCCTCTCCATGCATTTCCTTCTTGTAGCATTTGTATGTGAGGAAGATAGATAGGTGTTTGCTTTCAACATAGCAGCATTTCTGCTTTCAGGAGGCAGTGGCAGTGAACGGGTGAAACACTGGGTGAGAGGAGGCTGTCATCATTATCATAACGTGAGGACCAGAGAGGGAGGATGGGATGAGCCGACAGAATTTGTGCAGAATGACACACAGCTGTCACGGGAGGAGATGCAGGTAAAGTACGTGCTCTTTTCCTCTGAAGTTGAAGTTGCCCCTATTTCAGGCCTTATTGCAACTTTGAGATGTAATGTTTCACCTCAGTAGTGATGTTAGCAAGCTTTGTATCTTATTTCCCTGTTCGTTGTCTACTTTGCACGTCAGCACCTCTTTGTCCTATTGTGGAGAATGTGCACACCTTGATCACCAGAACAAGACGGTGGTGTTGCTGCTCACCGAAAAGCAACTTGTAAGTTTCTCTTGAGCAGAATACAGAAGCCGCTGTGTAACATGTCATTTTTGCATCTCCCTTTTCTCTTCCTGGCTCTTCTTCCTACCATAACACTAATCTAGAGCACTGTATCTGGAGTCACGGCAGCATACGAGCGAGAGCAGTTGTGGCTGGCCAAAGAGAACCTGCTGGTGAAGCTTCAGGCACGTTGTCGAGGCTGTCTTGTCTGTCAGGAATTCAACTCCAGAATGAGGTTTTTGAAGAAGCAAGTTCCAGCCATCACTTGCATGCAGGTATGAAATCCCCTAATTCTGTTTGAAGCTTGTACTTGTCAGTTGCTCTCCACACGCACGCTTACTGACTCGTTTTGTTCAAGTCAAGCAGTTGCCATGCACAATTATCTTCATTATCTTCTCCCTGGGAATCACTATGTATAAATTACTTCTCTCCCTCTTCCCATTAGTCCGTGGGTTTGGAGAATTGAAGATGGCCTTGAGAATTGTGCAATGGATGGTGCTTTTGGTTGTTTAGTTTTAGTCATTTGTTCTCTAGCTGTGTTTTGTCCTTGTTGGGGGTGCTGCTAAGTCCCTCACAACGACAGCTGGTGGTGGAAGAAATAGTGAAGGCTGCACTGCATATCTCTTACGGCATGTCTTGTAAGATGAGCATGTCTCTGTTACATTTTATTCAGCCAAAGGGAAGTGGAAACTGAGCAGCAGAAAGAAGCATCGAATAGTAAATTACTGCTCTTCACTTTGAAAAGTCGCCTTTTTTCTTGTGTGTGTTTTCAGTCCCAGTGGCGTGGCTATAAACAGAGGAAGGCATATCAAATCCGTTCGGATTACTGACGAGCACACAAGGACCAAGAAGTGAAGGTAGCAAATGCTATGGTTTTTTTTTGTTTTTTTTTTTTTTTTTTTTTTCTTCAACATTTTTGGTAGCAATATTTGTGGAGAAGACTTTTATCTGACCTGCTTTGGGATTCTTTCCTGTAGATTCAGTCACTGGCCAGGATGTATCAAGGCAGAAGGCGTTACAGAGATCACCTGCAATATTTCAGAGACAACGTAAGAGATTGTGAAATGAATTCAGTATCTGACACTTTTTTTTTTTTACTCTGCCCTTAACAAGTTTAAGTGGCTTTTCCACTTAAGTGGGTTTTTTTTTCATTCTAGATAAATGACGTTATAAAAACTCAAGCTTTTATCCGAGGAAACAAAGCAGGAGAAGACTACAAAACCCTCAGTAAGTGTGGCCAAAAGAATAAAGCTAATATGCTTTGAATCTCTATTTGCAGAAAAATACTGTTAGTGAGATCTGCAACAGGAAGAGAGCTATGAAAATCAGTTGGGGTGAAGTGGTGCAAAGAGTAGATAGGTAGGTAGGTAGGTGTCTGAAGGAAAAATTCCCTCTGACTGAGGGAGTGGAATGTGCTGTCAGCAAGTTTGCTGATGACACAAAACTGGGCAGAGTGGCTGACACAGCAAAAGGCTGTGCTCAGAAAGAAGATGGTAGTGGTGACTGTGTGTCTGGGTATAGATAGCTTGATACAGATCGATAGGACTGCAGTGTGGATTGTACATAGGCCCTGCGCTGCGAGGTACGCTGTTGGGAAGCAACGTCCATCTGCCCGAGGGCAGGAAGGCCCTGCAGAGGGACGGCCTGAGGCCAGCCGTACGAGGCTGCACAGGAGCAAGCGCTGGGTCCTGCGCTGTGGTCATGACAACCGCATGGCAGCTTGTGCAGGATTGGGCTGAGGTAGAATTCCAAGGGCCCACTGATTCTAGAATGTTGGGTGCGGTGTTGGCATCTTCTGGTCCTGTGACATGGTCTTGCCTCCCCACCCTGTCGTCATGGCGGAGCAGCCTGGTGGCCCTTAGTGATGTCACAAGAGGCTGGAATGAGGGGAGGAGCAGTGCGTGCTGCGTCCCTTCATTGGAGCGCTTGAGCTCTGCGTGAGTAGCTCGCTTGTTGCCCTTGTGCAGCGACTGATTGCCTTCGGTTTCAACCCTTGTGTCTTGTGCAGCATCTTGTAGGTAAGCTGAGACAGCGTGGGATGGACGGGTGGGCAGTGAGCTGTTGGAAACTGCTGGCTGGTGGAGCTCCTAGCAGCTCGTACTGCTTACTCTTGTCCATCAGACGTAACTTTCAGCCAGTACCTGCATTCCCAAGCGATCCACAAAGATGGCATTTGTCCCGTGGCTTTTCCCTTGTCATCTTTGCTGCATTGTGCAAGCTCACAGACCTGTTCCTTCTCTCTCCTCTATCCGCTCCCTTGGTGCAGCTTTCGCTCGTGGAAGCACAGAGCAAAGTGACAAGAAACAGCTGCGAGTTCAAGGAATTGTCTACCTTGTTCTGATCTCCTGCCAGGTACGTGCCACGCTTTGTCCCCCCACGTGGTTGACCAGCAGTGTGTCGCACCATGTTTGGTAACACAGCCTCACCCAGCGTTGATGGGACACTGGTCCCGTGTGGGTTTTTTCCCTTCCCCTGCAGCTCCGCCCTCAGGAGGATGCTGTGTGTGGTGCTGTGACCAGCTGGTCTGAAGGAAAGCAATCCCTTAGGCAAAGAGTCCTAGGCCCAGTTTGTGCTGAGCTGCACAGCGTGACCCAAGGTCACAAGCACGCACGCTTGGCCTGTGAGAGTGTGCGCGGCAGCTGTAGGGAGCACAGCAGAGATGCGAGCAGAGGAAATCCTTGATGTGCGGGGCTGCAGCAGGTGCCGGTGGTGAGGCTGCTGGGAGCCGGGGCCGGGGAGCAGATGCACCTGCAGCAATGATTCCTCTCACTGCCCTGCTGCTGCGCTGTCAGAGCGCCCTGGGCGAATGCATCTGCTGCTTTGTGCCAGTCCCCATCTGCTAGCAGAGGGACAGCTGCTTGGTCAAATGCTGCCTAATGGGCTGTCCCATTTGAACGGAGTGAACAGAGTGGTTGCTTCTAGAGCACCCGCCTGTGCCAGAGGATAGCCAAGGGTAGTTCTGAAGAAGTCTCTCAATAGTGTGGTGTGTGAAGAGAGAAAATATGAGCGTGTTTCTTTTCATTCCAGCTTGTCGTGCCTGCTGTGATGGGCATCGCGTGCA